GGAAACGGCCATTTTCACGGTGAAACCCTTACGTGGCCTCACCGAAGTGGTGGCCGCTGTCGCCGTTGCGTGTATGGAGAACCGAGCTCTGCCTTGTTAACCCGGATGGGGCTGAGTGGGAACCAGGTGCTGCCACCCCGCAGGGAGATGTCACTGTCCCACGGTCCCTGGCATGTCCTTGTCCCCCAGCTGGTGGGATCGGCAGCTTGAGGCCACGTCGGCTGCCTAGGGCTGCACCAGGGCCCTGAGCAGCCACAGCACAGGTGCCTTGGGCCGGCGGTGGGAAAAGGGGAAGGTGGAAATTGGGGTTCGCAGTAGCCAGCACCATGCTGCGCTGTGTTTGGCAGCATGCTGGCGCTGCTGGGGGAGGCAGAAATGCCTTGGGACGGTGAGCATGGCTTGCAGGTGCCCGAGGGGAGTGTGTCCCCTCTGCCAGACGCACATCGGGGGCCGCCAGGCCTGGCAGGGACAGGAGAAGGCACCCCAGCAGCGAGCCTGGCCTGGCAGCCCTGCAGACAGGCTGCGGGAGGTGCCAGGCAGCCCCACGGTCTCTGCTTCCAGGGACTGTGGAGCGGCAGGGAAAGATTTTTCTGTTTCCATCCTAGCAGAGCTCTAAATTTCCCTCTATAAATAGTTGCTGTGGCGACCGCAGAGGTCGCAGCAGCCTGACAGACCTGCTGCGAGGGGAGCGGAGGGGAGGCAGGGAACTGCTCAGACAGGTGCAGAGAGAGGCCGGCAGTAAAATGAATCCACTGCAGCTGTCCTGCGTCTCCTAGCTATCCTGAAGCCAAGGTTGTTCCCAGAAGCAGTGCTGTGATCTGATACCCTGTCCCGTTCCTCAGCGCATCTATCCAGCGATGCAGCAGACCTTGGTCTACTCAAGGACACCCCTCCCGGGCAGCCCAGACCAAAAGGAGAGCAGGACCAGCTGGGACCTCACTTCCTGGAGCTCCAGCATGAGCCAGATCACAAGCGGCGCTGCGCGCCCTGCCGCCGCGAGCTGCTGCACGGTAAGTCCGCAAAGGGCCGCCGGGGCCGAGAGCCCTGCACGCTGCCGCGGCTGGTTTCGTGGTGCACGTTGCAGCTTGCAGGGATGCTGCGTTCAGCAAGCGCTTCCCGGGCCGTGGCTTGCCAGGTCTCTGTTCACGCACGAGATCAAGGCACGTATAGCTCTGGTAAGCTCTGCGACTCCACGTTTCTGGTAGAGTTAGGCTAAAGGGAAGGTCCAGGCAATGCAAGGCACGACCGGTGCTGGGGGAGGCTCTCTACACCCCTCTGGGCACGTCGGGTGGAGCGGATCAGGTCCTTCAGGCAACATCTGCAGAGGCGAAGCACCTCTCCCTGCCCGTAGCACTTGCGCACCAGGCAGCACCAGTATGTTCCCAGGCTGACTGAGATTTTCTGACCTGGTCCAGGCCTGCAGCAAGCCAGCAAGTTCTGCATGATGTAGCTTTTAATGACCAAAAAAAAAAAAAAAACCAGAAAAAAAAGCAAATCAAGACATGAAGTGATGAAGTCTTTAAAAACATTAATCGTCCTTCATCACAAAGCTTAGAAAAGTTATGTTTCGCTCTTCTATAGCAAGTTGCATAGCAACACTCCTTGCTTATCCTTTCCCGGTGTATCCCTGTAACACGGTGGGCTCTTTACCTTTGCAGAGTCTCGCACGTCCAAGGAAGGGCCTGCCTTGCTCTCAGCTGCCAGGGGGGACGCTAGGGCCCCAGTGAGCTGTTCAAAAGCTGTCAGCCTTAGTGTTAGAAAGTGTTTTATGCTAAATGAGCCTGGCTTGGGGTCCTAAACACTGTATCATGATGGCACTGCTTTCCTGCCAAAGAGTCCTATTTCCAAAAAAAAAAAAAAACCTATCTAGGGAAGATGCTGTTGAACGACCATGCGGATAGTTTCTTAAACTTTCCTTTGGTAGGTGAATGGTGAGTGATGTGAGACATTAAATCTCCAAAGCTGCTGCCCAGATCTCAGGTCAGCCCCCCCAGTTCTCCCTAGTGACGTGCCAAAACGTGTGAAGACGTGAACGAAGAGGTCTTGGCGTGTTCTGGCGGTGCAGTGGCTCGCAAGGGTGTTGATACGCAAAGTCTGTGCTCATGAACAAGGGAAATTCTGCTGATTTCACCCAAGTTTCAGAGATGGGACTCTGGCAAGCGTTTGCCAAAGGAGAGGGAGCACCCTGGAAGTTTATGCCTAAATGAGACAAATTCTGAGCACTTGTGAGTGCCATGGTTAGAGGACTAAAAAATACATGGAGGGAGAGGCATTTTGAGCTCCTTTCACACTGCTGTATGAGCTGGGGTAAATGGAGCAATGCCAGCTCTGGCAGTCCTGGGTGTCCCTGGCAGAAACGGCATCTCAAGCACAATCTGACCCTTAATTAGAAACGTTTTGAGAGCTCGCTTAATTCCCAAAGACAGACTACATCTCCGGTTGCTGTACTGAGAAAGGAGTATCAGGATATGCAAAGAAATCCTAGTCTTTTGAGGAAGTCGTGCTTCTGTCTCAGCGCTCACGTAAGAGCGTGTCCTGGCAGACGCTACTGTGCTAAAACAACTTCCCCAGTGAGTTGTTTCCACTGCAAGTGAGGGAAAATGCCCCAGTGCAGACAAGCTGTTAGCTTTAGCGCACTGATTCTGAAAGATTTAAAGGTCAATATTTCCACCCGCACTAATGGTCTACTCAATTATCACGTGTCGCAAGCTCCGGCAATATATGTTAATCTGAAGGTTAGGCCATAAAGCAAGTGACGTTTCCGTCTGATGAAAGGCTAGGCTGGGAGTACCCAAGCTAGAGCAGCTTACATCCGTATTTCCATTAGCAACATGGGGTTCGGGGGCGTTGTTTCAGGTGACCTGCGCTTCAGCCAACTCTCTGCGGGTGCTGGCAGGGGGAGGAGAGCAGTTGCATCGGTCTGTCTAAACTGACTCCGTGTTTATACCTTTTTGCTGCCATAGTAACAAACACTGGATAATAGCCTCTCCCCCCTCGGATACAGCCTCTTTCCTAGGGGGTCACGGGATGGTCAGTGATAAATACCTGCTCTGGCCCCAGGGCTAGGCTGCAGAGAGATGTGCAGTACTGGAGTTTGTAAAACACAGACCCTCTTTAATACTAAACACGAGGCTCCTCCTGCCAGCGAAAGCCTGGGGCTTACCCCTTCCCCAGGCGGCGGGGAGATGGGGAGCAGAGTGCTTTCTCCGCGGGATGCCAGGTCTGGCCAGCGCTGCAGCTGCAGGAGGGGATCCTGCAGGTCCTACTAAGCCACTGAAAATCCACACGAGGCACTAGGAAACCTGAGACGCCTGCTGGGCTCTGGTCCAGCTGCACGCAGCCAGGAGCCCTTCTCCACCCCAGCCTGCCAGCTTTCCTTTTCTGAACTCTTAAAATAATCTCTAACCTCTCCGAAGTGCCAAAAATGTTTTTTAACAGCCCAGTTCCAGGTTCTGGTGAAGCAGATGGAAAGGAACGGGGCGTGGGGGGGGGCGGGGCAAGGAGAAAGGGCAGAAGTAGGAACGGGCGCGATGCATATCGATGTGCATGCCATGTAGTAGAAGTTAACAGCTGCTCTGCAGCTACTTAACTCTGTTTAAAGGAGTAAAATGCTGAAGACTGCACCACCTGCGCTCCAAGACCTGGTTCCCCACTGCCACTGTCCCCTCGCACCAAGATCTGCTGTGACGATGGAAGAGTGGGAACGGTTGCAGAAGGAGGCACCTGCAGCGAAGGACGCAGGTCAGTCCTCAGATGCATGACTCAAGCTGAGATTGTGCCAGGCTCTTCCCAGGCCAGAGGAGGCCACTGGCGACCTGTGTGGCCATTCCTCTGGGATATCCAGCCACTGGGAGAAGAGTTGTCATCAGTTGCTCTTTCAGTCCAATGGCATTTAAAGACATGTCATAAACGTGCCTTCTGGTGATGTCCCCCTAGGAGGCCACCACCCCGTGCAGGAAGGAGAGGTGTTCAACATGAGATACCAGGCTCTGCGCAAGCTGGGCTGCGGGGCCTTTGCCACAGTCTGGCTGTGCCAGGACATGAGGTGAGGGGCTGAACTCGTTTCAGGGGCTGTAGGAAGGGTGTGCTGTCCTCCTCCCAGGCAGGGCCTCTCCCTTTTGCACAGAAGCAGTGGAGCGCAGCAGCCTGCCCGGGAGCACATCAGCCTCAGCTCTGAGCGGTTCAGTGTGTGGAAGTGCCCAAAGAAGGCAACAGTGACCAGAGCTGGGGAGAATCCAGCAGCAAGATCAGTGGCGTGCTGCCAGCAGAGCTGCTCCCCAGGAACTGAAGAGCATAGGTGGGATCAGCCCTTGCTCCACCTTTGCTCTTTTTGTTTAGAATAGGTCAGACCCTGTAGTATCCACGTTCTGCCTTTTTCTCTCTGGTCCTTCTCTGCTCCCCGGGGCAGCTATACTGCAAGATGCGAGCAGCATCACCAGGAGAGAGGCACGTGGTCCTTGCGTGCCGCAGGCCAAGGGCAAGGCTGCTCGCGGGAGGGCAGCGCTCTCCCTGCAGAGCCCAGGGCTGGGTGACTCGGAGAAGGGGAGGCGTTGCTGCTTGGAGCTGAACTAGCATGCGTTGGCTTGCAGCTGTGATTCATCTCGTAGGAGGAAGAAACACGTAGCTGTGAAGGTCCCCAGAAGTGGGGAAAGCTTTGCTGAGGCTGCCCAGGACGAGGTCTCTCTCCTCCGATGTGTACGTATGTTCTGTGGCTCCGCGTTGTGCACCATGGGGATAGCCACTGAGTTCGGATCTGAATATCAGCCTCATTATCCTTCTCCCTCCAGTTGTCAGTCTCAGGATCCTGGTGGGGAACAGAAAAAGTATGTTAGATACTTGACAGAAATTGCCTTCATTCAGCACTGGCCTCTGAAATGGCCACCTTGTCCTTCCTGCTGTGCTTGCATGGATGGCTATGCCCTACTTGGCCTGTAAGCCCATTCCTTTCAGCTGAGACCAAAATCCAGTAAGTAGGAGGGCCCTGCAGAAATACAGGCTGGATAACCAACAGCAAAAAACCAGGAGGTCAAATCCAAGTTCTTAAACAGGAGGTGGAAACGTGTCTACTGTATTTGTGTAGTTCCCAGCTCAGAGGGTATCGCTCTATCACAACACAGATATTGAAGTAAATGGAAATAACTGCAAAAAAACAGTAGGATGCAGCAAATTATAATAAACAGCTGAACTCAGAAAGCTTCCTTCTGCCTTTGCCAACAGGTCTGGTAATTAGGTGCATGTACCTGAGTTTCAGCTGCTTGCCTTTGAAGGTGGCTTGACCTGCTAGTTCTAGAAAGCTCGTGGTTACAATTCTTAGAGTTTGCCTAAATAAGAAGTTACATCAGCTTTATATGAGTAAAAGTCATTAAATTTTGCATTTCAAATCACTGCGAGGCCTTTCTCCAACAGGTTTGAAAAAGGTGCAGTTTGCACCTGCAAATCTGCAGGCTGTATCCAAAGGGATGTGAGCCAGACTTAGTGATGCAAGAGGAAGTACAAAGTGGCACTAATTTAGTGTAATCAAAGGGGTGCTTTTCTGCACATCAGCATAATACTGTGCACAGAGCAAGCCTTGCCCTTAAGTTTATTAGGAATTCTCTCTGAAAGACACTCCTCCTACTCAATGGAATATAGCTGGTTCCCAGGGCCATTTCCATCAGTATAACACGGCCGGTGCCTGTAGTGCTGCCAGAAAAGGTGGGCGGTCTCCCCAGCTTCCACGGCTGTGCACCTCCGTCATCCCAGTAAAACCTCCTGGCACTGCTGCAGACACATCAAGCAGCTGCGCAATGAAACAAACCAAAATCCCCCATGGTTATGGCAGTGTACAGAAGTACTCAGTGCTGTACCAAGATCAGTGTCCTGTGGGAGCAAACTCACAAGGTAACTCACTGCACAGATGTGCAGTGCTGATGTGAGATCTGGGGGAGCCAGTGGTAGGCGGCCAGCAGAGTCTAAGGACAGGGTAAGCACAGAGTGCTGCTCTGTGCTTTTCACTTCCCTGAACACTTCCCTGGCCTCCAGGAGTTTCCAGTGGGAGATTTCTTGGGCCAAAGGTGACATCTAGGAAGGCAGTAATCCTAAATGGGTTTATCTTCCAGAGACCTGTCTCACATTGCCATGAGTCCATGCAGGCTTCAGCATCCACAGCACCCTGTGACAAGTGTTGCCACCAATTCCCTGTGCACTGCATGAAGAACCATCTCCCCAGCTTGTTTTTGAACTTCTCAAGTGCTAGGGTTACGTGGTACCCCCTGGTTCTCGTATGAAAGGAACGGGAAATAACAGTTCTGTGTTCACCCGTTCCCCTACCACTCAGTATCTGAAAGATCTCTGACGTACCTGCCCATAGTCAACCCTTTTCAGCCCAGAGAAGCCTAGTTCAATGGGTTGTTCCACATGTGGAAGTTGCTCCATACCCCCGTGGGACAGAGTAGCCTTTGCCTGGCCGAAGACAAACACAACGTCTTCGCCTCTTTGCAACCATTGGCAAGAAATTGCTCAAGGGAAGCTACAGGTTTTAAAAGGTGATGTTGCAGGAAGACCGCTTTTCTCCACTGAACCATGAGAAACTACATGACACCAGACAAATTCCAAGTGATGCCGTGACAGTGCCTGGCCCGTTACGCTCAACCAGAGAGGGAAAGGGGTCTTCCTCCACCACAGAATGAGGAGTAGGGGCTGAAGGGTGAAGAAAACGGGCAGCCATCGCTCCTGGGCACAAAGAGCTGGGTCTCCGGGAAACTGCCTTTCCCCATAGGCAGGAGCACATTCAGGGCCTGGATGGGGTAGAACGAGCAATGGGAATTGCTTCAGACCCCATTAACAGGAAAGGTTTGAGTTATTCAGATATTGTGAGGGTGATGCTCCTACCTGGTCGAGAGCTAGACAACACACAGAAATTCATTACTTGGGAACTGAGTCTGCTTGTGTAATTGGAGCCTGGTTTTCTTCATGCTGTTGTCGCTGAATTTCTAACGAAGTACCAACCACTGGAGGAGAAAGTCTGTAGAAAGGGATAAAAACGGGCGCAAGATGTCCTTGTGCATATGTATGTCTCTAATTGCAGCTTTCTTGGAATCCCCCCTTCAGGTGAGCAGCATGAAGAAGAAGGACCGAGCAGGAGAAAACATCATCTGTTTATTAGATGACTTTAGAATGATGGGAGAGAACGGCTTCCATATCCTTCTGCTAAGAGTGCTGCAGCCCTGGGTTGGCAAAGCCTTGGCTTGCCTTGGAGAGGTTACACGATGGTGTAAAACTGCTGTGGTCCCATGAGGATGAGCAGGGCAGCAGTTGGACCTGGACACATGAAGGCGGCTGGAGGGGGCAGGTGGAATAAGGAGATGTTTGGCTACTCTGGTGAAGGGTAGTAGTATCTTCTCCGTTAGTGAATCCATGACTCTTTCTTTGTTATTTGAAGCACTGGGTCCTTCTCTGAGATGTCTGATGGGTAACTATGCAGTCCAGGGCCTTCCTTTGCCTTTTGTGAAAAAAACTTTACAGCAGGTGAGAACTTAGCTCCAAGTGGGTGACGGCACCAAGGGACTGTTGGGTGGGGAACACGTAGTTTTGTTCATTCTGGAGTCATCTGCCATGAGCTCCTGTGTGATTACATCTGCAGAAAAAGGAACAACACTGAATGAGTGCCCAAGGCATACATTTTGTAAGGGAAACACTAGCTTTTTATTTTGGATATGAGGGGAGAAAATGTTTAAAAAATAAAATAAAATGCAGAGTGGGAAGTCATCGTGTTCCCATTAACACAGGCATACTGTTCATTACTGGCTATGTCTGTAGCCTCATCAGGTTTGGAAAGGAATCGGGACCACCAACATGAAGAGTCAGTAGCCTGCAGACCTGTGCCATGCATTCAGGGCCAACAGTTGTGCTCAGATCTCAGTAATCACTGATTTTTTTCTTGGGATCACTTCTGCCGCTCACCAGAGTAGCAGGGGAACAAACAGCCTGCCACAGTTAACGCTTCTTGTTGGCAAACCATAGACATCTCTCTGCCCTCCTGCAGCCATGAGGATCACCCTCCCGTGGTGACGCTGGACTGCTGGCATTTGTCTTGGCTTCCAGTCATGAGCGGCACTGACATATGCAGGATCCAGCAGGGCTCTGAGGCTGGCCTATAGCTTTCCACACAGCACTCTCAAAGGCTGCTAGAGGTCTGTCTCATAGCTGATTTATTTCCAAAGGCTTTGCAAATAGCTGGTTCAGTTGGCTGGTCCTCCACCCATGTTGAGGTTTTCCTGCTCAGAGCCAACTGTTCCTTCATCCCCTGTAAGGATGTGGCATGCTGATCAAACAGATCACAGAAACTGAGTTTCTTGTGCGTTGTCCATGAATAGCTAAGGAATGGGCCTCAGAGTAGTTAAAATTATATTTTGCCTCCAAAACTGAGATTTATCAGAAGTCCGCTGACTTGTCAAGAAAAGATTTGCTCCCTTGATTCCTGTGCTCTTCTAAAGACACTAAGAACAAACTCCTTTCTCCTTCATCCTTTTTCTGCAATAACTTCTTCTTCCTGTAAAGGAGCTGCACCAACACCTGTATAAGTTACACAAAAGTGTAATGGCATTAAGCTCCGTGCTCAACTTCATACCCAAGCCTTTGCCTGCACCCCCTTATCTGCTTAAACCGTAAAATCCCAAAGGCTTTTTCTTTTTCCCTTCAGATCAGCACTGGGGCAGTATTTACTTCTGATTCATTCCATTTTAGCTATTTAAATCTTTCCTTGTGTCTCACAGTTACCATTTAAGGTTGGTATTTCCCTGGGGCTGGTATTCATCCCAGAATAGATGTTGATAATGCACAGAAAATTTGCCAGCCCTCTATGACTGACCAGAGTGTAAAAAAAAAAAAAAAAGAAAAGAAAAGAAAAGAAAAAAAAAAGACCTTCTCCCAGTAGTCTTTTTGCTGTTATTGATTTCCAAGAGTGAATGTTTCTCTTCCGTAGGCACTGTTTATCTCTCCCTCGTGACAGGCCCAACTCTCCCTGCTCAATCGTAAGCTCTCCTTTCCCTTCATGGTTCCCCTGCAGAGAAGGAACTGTATCCTGAATTCTTCTCTACACACCATCACTCATCATCTCGCCCTCCTCCTGTCTGGGTTATGCTTCATCTCCTTTTCTTTACTTGTACGATGGGATCACTTAGAAGGCAGGGCCTCCCTCCCCACAATGTCAAATGCTCTCTGACCAAGTCCCAACTTGCAATCCAACGATAACGCCGTATTAACAGGGATGGCGGTACAAGGACGCCAGAGCCAACCAGCAAGAAGTGGCTTTTTAGGACACAGTTCAGATTTGTCACCATAATGCCTCCTTGTAGTCCTCTCCTCAAAGTAATTGCAGCCTTTTGCACCTACTTTCTCTTTCTCCAGGCTTGTCCATCCATGCAAATCTTTCCATGAAAATCTTTGGATTTTCACACCTCCTTCTGCTGCGTGTCATTTCGGTGTCCTCCAAATACCCTCTTTCACTGCCAGGATCCACAGGCTCCGTATTGCTTATCGTGCTGAACCCGTAGGCTTAGGTGGCAGTTACTCCTGCTGAGTCTTGTGATGAAGCCACTTGTGTGTGCTTCCACAGGGCTGCCCTAATCCGTGACACCACTGTTTTGGGTGCAACTCCAAGTTAATACAGAGGACTTATTACACAGAAATAATTTCTTGCAGAAATTTATCACCAGTACCCTCTTTCCCCTATACCAGAACCTCCACAAATCACACGTCCACTATGGTGGACTCTGCTCTGACAGCACTAAAAGCTGCTTGGGATGGGAGAAAGAGGGGGAACCTTTACGCTGTTAATGTAAATTATTCTCTGGCTCACTCAGGTGCTAGCAGGCCTGCAGTTCCTGCACCAACGCTGTCGGATTATTCATACAGACATCAAACCAGAGAACATTCTGCTGTATGTAGGTGACAAGACCCTCCAGAGTCTTCTGCCTGATACTGTCGACTCTAGCCAGAGAACAGATTTGGGGCAAAAGGGACCAGGTAAGCAGTGCAGATTTTTTGTACCAGACAAGGGACTTAAGAGCTTATTGCCAGGAGCGAAACAGAGAGGTAGGTAGACATAGTTTATGAAAAGAAAAAGCTCACAATTCCTGCAGCGGCCAGTACCAAACAGTACAGGCAGCTCTCGATGATAGACCTCTTCTATCTCAGCTTAACACAAACATCACACCTGAGTTACTACAAGTTTCTCAAGGTGCCTACATAAATGTGGTGTTGCAGGTAGGCTTGTGTGGAGAACAACTACAAATCAAGTATTTGTACAAATCAACTTTACCATAACGCTGGTAACCTTATGGTAACTTCACCATAACCTGAGAGCAGATTCTCATAGCTTTAGGTACAGGATAGTTCCACCATGTCTGGTCTTTGCAGCCACCAAAAGGTTTACCTAGTCAATGGTTTGGTCAAAAAGGCGTATGACATTTCTACTCCCTATCTCCTGTATTTTCAAGGTTCGCAGGAGACTTATATGCACTGCTAATCTCCAAGGCCTTTTGAGACATAATTTATCTTCAGAGAGTGGTCTGGACATAGAATAACATATAGGGCTGGATAGTCTCTCAAGAAATCATCTGGTCTCTCCCAGCAATAAGACCTTTTATATTTTCTCCCATGATGTTCTCCCACGAGCATTTCTTCTGTGATGTTGCTGTTGTGTCTCTCAAACATGGGGTAAATGGGGAATGCTAAATTATTGATAGAGATTTTTGCTTGGAGCAGAAAGACACAATATTGGACACAGAGCAACAGCCCACTGTAAAGTATTAAAGCGAAAATTACCCCTTCCCAGGGTCATATGAAAACGTCACTTTTATGATGCTTAGCCAAGCAAGTTGTGTCCAAGATCTGTGACAGCCAGGATCAATGAAGGCTGAGGATATGTTACAAGTGCGTTGTGTTTGACCGGTGCTGGTAGGCTGTAACCTCCTCTGAACCCACATTAATCTCAATGCTAGAAGTACTTTGCAGCAGAACAGGAGCACATGGTCACACTGCTCCACTGCAGGATACTGTCCTCTTTAACATCCTCTTGGATTTTGACTATCAGCTCTTCTCTTGTGTGGCTTCCTCAACAAATAGAGGTGGCATTTTACTGACAATAAAAAGGAGTTACTTGTCTAAAGCATTTTAGGATCTTTAAGGCTGAAAAACTTTAAAGGAGCGCGTACGTGTGAAGTACCTGCTGGTTCGGAGAAAGACCTGATTTCTCTCTGTCCTTTCCATCTAGGAGGTGATCTTGGCAATCGATTGGAACACTCTGATTTAATGAGCATAGAAGTGAAAATTGCAGACCTGGGCAGTGCGTGCTGGACAGTGAGTCTGCTCCAAGTCTCCATTCCAAGATGATGCGAGATGCTATCCACCTCTTTCCGTCACACTTTGGCTGTCTGTCATTGCACAGCTGAATAGTTATTTCAGAGTGCACTAAAGAGATGCAGATTTCAGTGTGTGTTATATTCCGCAGTCCCAGCTCAGAGCTGGGATCTGTACTCTTGGAGATGCTGTCAACTTTGGACCTTTATTCAGCTTGCAGTTAGTCACAAGAGGTTGGAAGGACCTTTGGAAAAATCGCCTAGTCCAACCCCTCTGTTCAAGCAGGATCACCTACAGTAGGTTGCCCAGGGCCATGTCCAGATAACTTGGGAATATCTCCAAGGATGGAGACTGTCCCTACAACTAGAAATCTAAAACCATGTTCACGGTGGAATTTTTAGAGGATAAATTCACCCTGGTGTCATTGGGGCTGAGCCCTGCACACAGTTTAATAGGTGCATTCAGTTTTATGTCACAAGGTCCTTGTCACTGTGCTGAAACCTTGTGACCACAAGCATTGCTCTTACTCGTTTATGGATGCTAACCAAAGGTAGTTTGTTTCTATTTCAGTACAAGCCTTTTTCAAAGGAGATCCAGACCCAACCGTACCGTGCCCTGGAAGTGCTTCTTGGGTTAGACTACGGCACTCCTGCAGATATCTGGAGCACAGGCTGCCTGGTAGGATTGGACACCATGCACTGCATGCAAGGAAGATGACTGACACTACCAGGCCAGGGGATGCACCTCCTCAGCCACCCATCTATCAGTAGAGCAAGATTTCTTTGCTGTTCCTGAGTCACAGAAGGATAAACAGGCTTCCTGCATTCATTAATTTCACACTGAATGTAGGCTGCTGATAAAATTCACTGCAATTAGCTTATGCTGTAAAGCAATTCATACTCCATATATGGAAAGCGATAGACTTGACCAAATCAGACACACACTGGTTTTCATCCTAAAGGAGCAAAAGGTGCTATTTCACAATGGTAGAGCATGGATCTAAGGAGCATGTATGTTTTCACGTTTTAGAATTGGTTTTGTGTAACAGGAAGGGAAATTGGCACTGGTACTATCGGAATTAATGGTGAAGAAAAACTCCCAAGGCAGTGAATTAACAATGCTACTCCACTTCTAGGCATTTGAGATGGCAACTGGAGAGCGTCTGTTTGATCCTCGACCTGGGAAATACTTCTCCAGAGATGATGGTAAGACTCCATTAGTTTTGTTGATTTCACTGACAGAAGAGTCAATCTTTGTGTCTAGACATGTTTTCTCTCCCCTGTCTAGATCATGTTGCCCGTATTATTGAACTCCTGGGCAGAATTCCTCCTCAAATAGCTTTCTCCTGGAAGAAGTCAACAAAATTTTTCAGCAGACCAGGTAAGAATCGGAGTAGGCAAGTTTACTCTAAAAACACTGTGCACCTCTAACACGCTCCTACTCAGCTCACGTCAGAAAACAATCAAAACTTGTATCAAAAAATGCAGGCTACAGGCAGGGACAGAAGAGGAGACCTCGTGAAGTGCAGTAACACTTCTTGCCCTGCCAGCTAGCTTGCTCTCCCACCTTTGCAGTCCAGGAGTGTTCCAGTGATGAATGCAAATGCAAAATCCTGAAAAATCATCTTAGCATAATACTAAGCAGGGGAAAGCCTTCCATCCTTCCTCTGGATCTAGAGAGGATGGAAATACGGATAGGAAATAGCTACATGGCAGTAAAGCCAAAAAGCGTTGTGTTAACTGGCTGAATTTCACCTGTTCACTGGCAGAGAACAGTGTTGATCAGTATGACACTCATTATCCCCCCACCCTTCTTTCATCCACCCTATATGCGGTTGCTATACGTAGTCTTCTGAGCCCAACTATAATATCTCTTCCGTTTGAATCTCCCTGAGTTCTTTCCCTTTGTCTCATTAAGCTTGAACTGCTTATCTTTGACTTTAAGGCACTGCATGACTCTGTCCTTCTGCAATTTAGTCCATCATACGTTATTTTCTCGCTTACCAGCAAGCAAGACAGCCTCAGTATACCCCCACTTCATTCTCTCGAGTGCTGGTACCATGCTGCAGTTCAGAAAACACCTCCCTGCTCGTTCAGAGCCCTTGTTCATGCTTATTCCTTCTATGGCGCTCAAGAGAGGCGAATCAAAAGAAGTCCTTGTTTTATAGTCCTTCTCCGTGTGAACAAAGCTGGCCTCACCTGAATCACTACATTTACAGCATACACTGTTTCAGGACAGGGATCACTTTTTGGTCAATAGTGGCACTGCTGGGCCCCACAGAGCTAGGAAGCACAAAGCAAATTAAACCTCACTGTTTAGTGAGATATGGCCCTGAAAAGGCCTGATTGCACTCTGGGTTGCAGGCAGACAGCCATAGCAATGGCTATGGCGTGACTATTCTGGGAACATTTCATTCGCTCTTGGCATGTTATCGTCTAAGAGGTACTCAAGGATGGGGGAGACTCCAAACATTAGCTTGGAAAGATGATTTCTGAGAGACAACTGAGAGCCAAATCTGCAAGTGGAAGCGCAGGCGAAGCTTACAGAGAGAGGAAGATCCGCAGGAGAAGGAAGGGATCCTTCGGGATGCTTTGGGTGAACGTATGAGGTGAGCAGCTGGAGCCTACGAGCACTGCAAGCGTAATTAAGGGGCTGCGCTCATGTTGTGTTGGATAGGTGCTCTTCTGCGGATCTCTAGGCTTCTCCCTCGCAGCCTCTGCAACATCCTGGCAGAGAGACACAACTGGGCAAAGTGTGAGGCTGCGCCGTTCACCAGCTTCCTCCTGCCGACGCTGGAGTACGCGCCCGAGAAGCGGGCCACGGCGGCGCAGTGCCTGCAGCACGCCTGGCTGGGCTCCCCGTGACCGGCCGCTGCCCTTCCCAACGGG